GTGCTTCATGCATCGCTGTACTATTGATAAAGCTGCGTGTTTGTAAGAAACAAATCCATTTCTTTTTTTTTAAGAGGACAACAGGGGATGAACTTCTTCATTGGAGGAACTGTTATTATAGATTATGGAAGTGATGGTTTAAAGCTAAAATGTGTTCATGATGGATTTGTTTCTTACAAACATGTAGCCTTTTACTTCATAAGTTCATCATTACTTGTGGATTTTTGTGATGTTTTTATCAGCTGTTTGTTCTCTCATTCTGACGGCACCCATTCACTGCAGATGATCTATTGGTGTGACAGCAAGTGATGTAATGCTTAGATTTCTCCAAATCTGTTGACCGCACATGCACGATAAAGAATTCCCATGCTCCTCAGCAGCACTCCTGCTTTGTCCTGTCTTACATTTGCGTTAAGTACACCGCTTACAATACAACGCCAAAGAAGTGACCAATCGGTGTCATGGGGCGGGGGTTCAGCCTGGTGATCGACATAGATGTAGCGGCCCCTTGGCTTCCAAATCATGAGGCAGAGAGCTTTGACGGGTGTTTGCTGTTTTATTCAGCTTCGATGCAATCAACTTCCAGAATGCTGTGATTAATTTAACTCCTTCCGTGCATCACAGCATCTCATCCGATCCACGTCGCAATCAATATATTGCTCAAGCGATGAAACAGCAGCGCGATGCGATGAAAGCCTCAGATGCAGCGTCAGACTCAGGCGATGAAACAGCAGCGCGATGTGATGAAAGCCTCATATGTAACGGAGAGTTTTACTGTAGCGGCCCCTTGGCTTCCAAATCATGAGGCAGAGAGCTTTGACGGGTGTTTGCTGTTTTATTCAGCTTCGATGCAATCAACTTCCAGAATGCTGTGATTAATTTAACTCCTTCCGTGCATCACAGCATCTCAATGCACCCTACTGCACCTTGTATCACCGTAAAACTACACAAATGAAACATAACAGAAGATAAACTTGAGCAATACGTATTCACAATGTGAAATCCACAGTATTACACAGTATAATTTACACAAGCAGAGTTCACCAAACACCATTATCACAAAGAAAATAGGAAATAAACAAACTAACATGAAATACAATGTAAACAACATACCTCATCCCGCTATTGCCAAAAAGGGACACTAAACACATTCATATATTTCAAATAAACTCCAAATTCAGCGCTATGTGAGCTCGTGCAACACACGCGAAACCCTTCCTTTTTTGTGCTGCAAACATGTGTCACCAAGTTACCTTGCGCCCTCTAGTGACGCCTTCAAATAAAACTAATTAAAGGGCAAAGCGGTCATTACAATAGATGTTAGATGTAGTATGCAGACAATAATTATGTAGATTTAGAACTACATGTCTGATGAAGTCTGAACCTACATAGAAAGCAGTCCAACTGCTCCAGAGACGCACTCCCCTCCCAATTGAAAATAACACAAGCAGGGTCTTCTAAGATCTAATATTTAACATGATCATTTGTAATGATTCAAATGGTCTGACAATGTATATTAACATAATCTGCAAGTGTTTATGGCTTTAATGGTTCTATTCAGTGTACAGCGGTCCATTACATTAGAGGCCAGTCTCTGATGATGAACGTTTGGCTTGTGGTAGAGAGTTCCCTCTAGTGGAAGTTTTCCCAATCACCTTTTAACACAAGATTTTGAAAATATTAGCTTGTGTTAACTCTGTTTTAATTCCAAAAGCCAGAAGCAGATACTTACTGTCTACAATTAATACAGCGCCTGTGCGAGAACATCCACCACAAATGAATGAGATGCTTTCTGCTCCAAATGGAATTTCTTTTTAGCCTATGGAAGGGATCAAATAATAGCGTTTTCACATATTCTCATTACAGAGCATTTCATCACTGACTCTAACAGAAGTGCACTGGAGCATATCTTCAGTTCTGAAAATAAAAAATGTTTAAATGTGTATTACTTCTATTCATTTGAATAAACCCCTAGGCGTTTAACCTGCAACAAGGCCGTGTTGTCACTAAGATCCGGAATATTCTGAAGCAGACTCCTCCAAAACCTGACATCATTGAGTGCTATGCTCATCTCTCCGCCAGTTAAAGGATGCCGCATGTTATAAGCATCTCCAAGAAGCAAAACTCCTGGCATAGAGGATAAGTTAGATCTATTTTAAAATAATTTGGTTCTAAGACTTTTTCGAAGTCTATGACATAAAACATTACAATACTTGTTTAAATGACTAACAACAACAATAAAGCTTCTTTATAATTACTATACTATGTATTACTATGTACCATAATTCAAGAAACTGCCACTGCTACAACTCTAACATGCTGTTTCTATATTGAGCAGTTACCTGGTTTATTGACAGGTGATGAGGGCAGGAAACTTGCTGGCATGGATTTTGTACAGCCAACAAAAACGGCCTCTTGAATTGATCTATCATGCAGGCACAACAAACCAAAGTAAATTTGCTAAAAAAAAAAAAAAGTATGACCCATATTAATCTGATGACATTTTTATATTAGCTCATGTATGTATGTGGACTGAAACTTTAGTTTTATGGTTGAACATTAATATAAGCAAACATAAAAGGATAGTTCAGGTTAAATAGTAGTTAGGCTACATAAATGTAATCATTATTTAACCATATTGTTTTACCATTATTTTTTGCTTATTCCTAAAGCTGCTTTTGAAGTTACCCAAGGTTATCACTGGTTAACATACAATATTTTTGACATATTATGAAAATGTTTGGACATATTACACCGTCCTGCATCATATTTGCTGAACGAAGCCCAATACTTGTTTGCTGATTCCAAAAATAGTGCCTGCTTTGCTCTTGCACGTCACACTTTCTTTTCAAATGTGATGATATGAAAATGATTTAATAGCATTTTTGCTTTCGACAAACATTTGTAAGGTAAAAAAGTCTTGTATTATCCTTTTACCACCAGAAAAACTGCCACAAATTCACAATTCCTGTCTTCGTCTGAGCTAGCTTACAACTATGTTAAATTCTCAGCTGATTTTCACAATTATGAATGATGCTGAAAAACATTATTTTAAGTCAAATCACGATTTCCACTTTGTTTGTAAATTGTAAATTAAATTATACATTATAATACCTCAGTTTGTCATTAAAACTTGACATTTGACTGCTTTTGTTATGTTGATAAGTACATTACAGCTCATACATAAATACAATTTGAGAAAGCTTCATTCTTATTTTTTTAAAAGACTATACATTATGGAAAGTTTTTGATATTTTTGAACTCCGCATCATCAAATTAGGTAATATTAGTCCTTTTTTACAAATCAGCAAAATGTTTTTTTGTTTTTTTTTCAATATTCAGGACTGTATTATCAAACTAGATAATAAAGAGATGGATGGATGTGGTCTTTTGACTAACCTGTACTTTCCCAGAATGCCTGTGACAGCCATTTTCCTCTTCAAGGTACGTTACTGTGCCTTCAATGAACCTCACACTCAACAAACACCAGGTAAATATGTTATTTAAAAAACTTATATTTTAAACATGCAAGACACATATGTTGACCTTACTTTGGCTCTGCAAACGCAGCTCTTCGCAGACCCATGATAAAGCGACCGTGGTGGAAAGCTCGGCCACACAGAGTCTGGTCTTGTGAGTAAGGAATCTCCACAAGCAACCCACTTTCAGTATCATGTTATATATACCCATTCACAATGTGTGCATCCAACCCTTCAACTGACTCTACAAGAAATATGAATTATAGGTCAGATGTCATTATAACTAGCAATGAAAACTGAAAAAACAAAAAGAAACTCACTTTCCAGGTTTAATTCTTTGAGGGCACGATATCCAGCAGGCTGCAGCAATTCACCCACTATTCTGTCAGGCTCTCTAAGACTCCTCTCAATCACTGTAACCTTGCGTCCATCTCGCCCAAGAACCGCTGACAGCGAGGAGCCCAAAACACCGGCCCCTACAATGATGACATCAGGTTCTGGGGCAACAAAATCTCCAATGTTGGTGGTGTTATTCTGTAGATAGATAATAGATAAACAGTAGATAGACATAACAATAGATAATAATAATTAATAAAGTAAAAATGCATAAATTAAAAACAAATAAACTGATATTAATGGGGGAAAAAACGAATAAAAGCATAATATATTTTATGGTTCTGAGGTATTTTTAGATAGATAGATAGATAGATAGATAGTCATAGCTTAAAATGTCGTTATTTAAAGACGAGCATACACAGGACACTGTTGCATCTATAACGGCGGGTTATTGAAATCATGACATCTATCCACCGAGCAAAGTAGGCTTGACAGAGTATCACATGAAGGGCTTAGTGAGACCGTGCAAGTGCAACTGTGTAAACCCCGCCCACTCATTCAGCTACCCAATCATATCCCTGTACGATTAGATCAAAGGCTTGCGCCCTGAAGTGGCATGGCATCTTTATTCACAGATTTCGCTGTGTTTAGTAGCACGTATGGTTTTTAGTGGCATCCTGTGCTAGTGGATTGTGGCATATACCATTGAAAATTGCTGAACATGTATGTTCTGGCACCTCCAGCATAATATGTAACGTTCATTATTAATTTTAAAAAGCATACAAAATAAATATCCAACCAGATCAAAATATCAAAATATAGCATTTTCATTCAGGGGGCGACATATACATATTGAATAAAATCTAGATTGAAATAACTGGAGAGAGAGCAAGCGCAAAGAATAACTGTACAATTAAAATATGAGGACGTCATGCATAAATATAATAAAAAAACACCAAATGAAAGTATTTTTATTTTATATGACTTGTATTTTAATAGAAGAATGTTGATCTAAATGTAGCCCCTTAAAGGTAAAACAAACATTTGCTTTAAACTTAAAATCACTCTCCCACTTTTGCTAATGATCTGTTAACTTAAAAGTGACAAACTGCTCAAAACAAACAAACAAACAAACAAACAAAAATGTTGTTTCAATGACTCGAAGCCCTCTGTGCAGATGAGAGGAGTTTCTGTTGACCAATCAGCGTTCAGTGTGGAGGACAACAGGAGCATTATTACCTGAACAGGTACACGAGCACTTGTGTGAGGAACTCTGAAGCTCCTTTGTGGAGTGTGTGTGTGTGTGTGTGTGTGTGTGAGAGAGAGGACAGTCCGTCGCCGCAATAAGGTTAGGGACAAAACACACACCATGGAGACTAGAGGAGTTGTGTTTCTCTGTGTGACCTGCCTCAGTCTGTTTACAGGCGCGCGTGGCGGTAAAAAGGACATTTACGCAAAAATTGTGGATTTAGTGTCTCCAGGTGAAGAGTTCCTCACGGAGGATGCGCTTCTCTCGGTGTTTGAACTGCTGGAGAACCGCGTGCAGTGCTCCGGTGTGTCGTGTGGAAAGGTATAGGACGGATTTGACGAACTTTAAGACCTGTTCTTTTACTGTGTGTGTGTGTATATATATATATAAGTGATGTGATGTTTAAATGACATAGACATATTTATTTATTAGGAAAAATTAAAAAATGACATTATATTAGATCTGTTATGAAGAAGAGAGCATCCCATACAGTGTGCCAAGAACATTACCAGCTCATATTTAAAAAATTGTTTTATAAATGGGTTTTTTTTAAAGAAAAGAAAATGAAGCCTTTTTAAGGATCATTAAGATTTGTCTCTACACCAGCAAAACACATTTTATGTCACATCTCATGACTTCATCACGGGTATCTGTTTCACATTTGTGAAAGCCAAATGAAACTGCACAAACTTTAACTGCAAATGTGTTCCAGTTTCAGACTCCATCATTACACAGAAATCTTGAAATCACTCTCTTTCTCTCCTGTATATAGTGCATGTCTGTTGAACATCTGCACCAGTTGTTGAGTAATTACAGCAGCTCACAGGGGCTACAAATGGAGGATTTCTTCACAGTGGCCCCTGGATGCTGTCTGTTCCTGAGCTCTCCGCTGGAGACCTGTGGGGCCATACGGGAGGGCCGCTGGGGTAAGGAGACCCATCACTTCATCCAAATGATTTTAGGCCACGACAACACCACCAGCAGTCTTAATGAGATCAGTGCCACAGAATATGAGGGTTTGGAGCAGCTGTTTGATGAGATGGAAAAATACTATCAGCCAGACACACATGAGGTCAGTAACTGCAATTTAGGATTAAACTAAAAGTGCTAATCATGCTAAGTGCTAGTAACATGGCCGTGATACACGTTAAGACATCTGTAATTTGTTTGTACACATTTTCAGTCCTGTCTTTCACTAAAAGACATCCTGGAAGAGAGCGGTGATCATCACTTAGAGCTGGATGCTGTTTTTGCAAATATCCTCTATCATGCTTTGCGTGGAGACTGTATGAGATCACTTGTCCTTCCTGAGCAAGAGTACTTTCTGGATTACATCTTCAGCCATTTTGCCTCTGATAATCTTACACTTCATGGTATGACAATCCATGGTTTTGATAATCCCGATGATGTTATTAACTTAAAATGTGTTTCATGTTGTTGAATTTTTTTTTTTTGCTTAAACATTCAAGTAAAAATATGTTTTAATGTGACAGAATCAATCTGAATAAATAATGTCACACCAATAAAAGTTGGCCATTTTTTAGACTCAGGTCCAGTGTTATTTTAGTATCATTTGTATAATATTATAGTTTTATTAATAGTTTGAATTAGTTTTTATTTTTTTATTTGTAGTTTTTTATGTTTAATTTCAGTTCATGTTTATTTATTCATTTAGATCCCATTAATTTTACATTTTTTCATTTTTACACACACACATATATATATATATATGTTTCTTTAGATGAGTGTTTACGCTGTAAAATATATTTTCTTATTTAGTATTTTTGTCTGGTTTTCCATTACAAATATCTAAACATACTTAAGTCAAAATGCATTTACATGAGATGGAAACTGACTTAAGACAATCAGGTCTTGTTTTCTGAAGAAAAAAAAAAGTAAAAATTAAGGGGGTTTATGCTTAAAACAAGAACAATATCCAATAAAGAAAGATATTTGCACTGGACAACAAGACAAAATACTGAGTAAGAAAATAATTTTTAAGTGTAGGTTTCTTATAATATATTTATGCATTTGACAGATGCTTTATTCAAAGCATTTTCCATTGCATTCAAAGTAAAAATTTGATCAGTTCAGGCATCTGAACTGGGAGTCGACCATATAACCTTAGCTTTTCTTGTACAAACAGTTAATATAGAACTTAAAAAGGTCCTTTTGGTTGCAGCTTAATGTTTTTAATACTTGTTCATGTTCTTTAGTGTTTTCTGAAATGAAGCATTAAGCAGTATTTTGTTTGACGCTGAACATTTGCGCTCTATTTTTAATGATGTCATTGTTACTCAGATTTTGAAGAGCTTCTGAAGGCACTAAACCTGGGCGGAGAGGAACACGACCATGATGATGCCCACACTGAGGATGAAGCCCACCGCAGCGGACCGACCCCCAGACAAAGTCATCAGGACGATCACCATAGCAACAGCAGCTGGGACACGGCAAGATACAGCAATGTTTGCTTGGGGCATCATGAGAAATCAATGCATGCTGCAGAAATCGAATCATTTAGAGTTTGATGAAGAGAACAATCATTCAGATGGGCAATAAATTATTTTGAGGCCTGCAACATGACATATCAACCTTAATAATTGATGTTTAGATGTCTTGATGGATGTATGTTGTGACATACGGTGCAATCTGAGACCATGCAATCTGTCTGTAATGATAATCGGAGTGAATTTAAGCCGTCTAAAAAAAAAAAAAGCCTGTCATTTGACATCCATGCAACTAATAATAGTGCACACTAATGCATGCATGCTTGTCAGAGCAAAGAAAGTAAGTAAAGCCAAATAATCCATTTTAATATTTTAATATATAAAATTTATATATATGTACATGTATATGTATATGTGTGTGGCTGTACATACACATATGTAGTTGTTTTTTGGTGTTTGGCTTAGTGTTATGTTAGAATCATTATTATACTCATACCTTTTGTTCTTTTCGTATTTTTGAATTGTTTTTAGCTTTATTTTTTTGTTTTCATTTAAATGTTTTAGTTTTGAAATGCATTTGTCATTTTTATTTAATTTATTTTACTTTCTTAAATGTGTATATATATAGTATTTATAGAGTTTTAGCTTTTAGTTTTAATTACTTTTTCTTATTTGTGTATGTTTGAATTGTTTTTAGCTTTATTTTTTTGTTTTCATTTAAATGTTTTAGTTTTGAAATGTATGCATTTGTCATTTTTATTAAATAAAAATGACAAATGCATACAACAACATTTAAAAACTAAACATTTAAATGAAAACAAAAAAATAAAGCTAAAAACAAAAGGTATGAACAAAAGGTATGAGTATAATAATGATTCTAACATAACACTAAGCCAAACACCAAAAAACAACTACATATGTGTATGTACAACCTCACATATACATATACATGTACATATATATAAATACATTAAATATATATATATATTATTTCATTTCCATTTTGTATGTTGAAGTACTGAAATAACTCAAATTAAATAAAAGTAAAACTTAATAAAAAGCCTATATAGACATAATAAAAAAACTAATAAAATGACAACATGACTACAACTGTAACTAAAACTAAAATAGATAACTAATACAAATCAAAGTACATTAGTTCATCAGTAATCCTAAAAAAATAACACTGAGCCAAACACACATGCTAAAACAACAACAACTTACTGACACATAATAAGAAATAGTTTATAAAAACCTGAAACAGAAGTGGAAAGAGGAGAGATAAAAAGCGATACTTATGTCCTTTGCCAGTGTCCCTGCCCGGTGGAGTCACACGGTAGAGTCTACAATATTATACAATATTTAATGTATCTGCATTACTGTAAGCGTAGGTTTAGGGTTGGAGCCGGTTCCAAACTACTGTCGAGGTTTGCTGAAGATTACTAAGGGTTCTGACGAGTGAGTTGCTAACATTATGCACATGCGTGTGTATCACCGATGATTTGAACGAGACTCATGCGCAATATAGCCTAAAGTCCTATTCGGACGGTAATTGTTTCTCATGGGGACGTAAGTGATTTTCACCAATTACAAGGTGATTTAATGCCGTCCGAATCCAGAATGTCGGTGTTTATCTCTCACCACCCCCTTAAAAATCCCCGGCCGAATTACCTACTGTTTTCTGACAAACACCAGGGTCGTGTGGTAATTTAATTGCCGTCCGAATCCACATCTCTGAGTTTACGAGAAGAAATCGATTCAAAATTCAGAGTTTAAACCCTCTCTGAGCACTCCCGAACACCTTACGGTACGGTTGTACTTCGGTGTAATTCTGGTAATGCTGGAAAGTATTTAAAGGTCCACTGAAGTGCTTTGAAACACACAGCGTTGTTCTGTGTGTTGACGTGATTTAAACTGAAACAGGAAGTGAGGGCGGGACATATCAAGCAGTCCTGCCCCCTTTTTAAAATAGCCAACAGCGTTTCGTTTATATCACAGTTACAGTTTGGACCAGAGTCGTTAAAGAGCACGGTAAAGCTGCATTTGACAGCCACAATCTCATATTGCTATAAAATATAGCATGCCATTCACCGTACAGAAAATACAAATCCTGTGAACAAGTGACCGATTTGAGCCGCAGCTTCAGCGTCTTTTTATAGTGCAGGGGGCGGGACGCTTCGGGTTCTAGAGAGCGTTTGATTGGACAGAAAGTTTAATGAGAAGCTGAAGTGCAGTGTGATGTCATCAAAATCGCTGATCCATATTGGCGAAGTGAGAGACTGTAAGTTACATAAAAATACATTTTAAATTTTAAATTTTAAAGTTAAATTACCGTCCGAATCGGGCTTTAGTTTCTTTAATAATAAACAAAACGTTCTGGAAATATGCTTATAACTAGTTTTATTAAAAAGGCCTACATTTTTCTTAAAACATGGAAAATCCTGAACTTGAATTTATCAATGAGTTTATAGAGAAAAAATTAGATGTAGGAGGGTCCCCCTGAGCTTAATTAATTAATTATTTACAATCATTCGTATGTCTAGTTTCCATTTTAGGCAAGCTGTCAATGCACTCATTTTCATTATTACTATTTTTATTTTTATTAGGCTACTACATTTTATTATTATTATTGCAAAGTCATCAAAACTTTGCCAATTTTTTTTTTTAATTAATCAAAATGACTATTCTTTCAAGTACACAGTATATAGTCATACAAACTCATTTGTGAAATCAATCACCAGCAGGTGGCATAAAAGGACGGCAGGCATCATTTCTCAGTAAAGCTGGAATTGTGAAGTTTTCAATGTATTTTGAAGTCACATTGAATATTAATTGGGGTAATACCAATTACCAATAATAGCTTCTCTCTTTGTTATACCATTGAGGTCCACAAGACCCTCATTTAGCAAA